CGTGCTGACTACTGCGGCCAGGCAATGAACGACGCGTCGCCGTGCGTGCCTGACTACTACGGCCAGGCAATGAACGACGATTCGCCCGCCGCCGCTTCGTTGCTGCCACTTCCGGCCCACCGCCGCCGTTGTGCCGCCGCCTCCGCCGCGCAACGTGCCGCCGCAGCCTTCACCGCCGCCACCGATGCATTCGCCGCCCTGTGCCGTCGACACTGCCGCCGCCGCAGCCCCCGCCCCCTTCCACACACACACACACACCGCCGCCCTCGCCCTCGCCCTCGCCCGCAAGGCCTCTCTTTACTCTCTGGCCCTCGTCGCCTGCAACACTCGCCCGACATGAACCTTAGCCCGCTCCCTCGTTGCGCCGCCCTCCGCAGGCTCAACGTCCGAGCTTTGTCCCCCGTCACTCTCCTCTCAGTTCAGACCCCACACATGCGCATAGCTGTTCGCACTTCCGACCAATGCAGGCGCCTTGCCTCACCCCTCTCACGGGCGGCCCCCATTCTCTCTGCGCTGCAGGACGCGCGCCGAGAGGCGCTACATGGTCGACTTCAATGAGAGCGAGGGCGAGTCGGCTTTCTTGGTTGTGAGATCAACAAGGGGCGTCTGGTTCGACAATCCCCACGTGTTCCATCGGAGCCTCGCAAAGGTGCCAATCAGCTTTTGTTTCGCGCCTGAGGAGGGGGCACAGGTTCAGACCGAGCTCGGGCCAACGGCTTCCGTCAAGGCCGGCATCACTTCGCTGCCGCCTTCGCTCCTCGGAGCTGAGGTGCGCACTTTTACGCCAGGATCGGCATTGTCCCTGCGGTGTCCCCGTCTCCAAACATTTACGTTTCTCCCTCGCGCAGGCGTGCGGCGTCAACAACGACGTCGTTGTGAAGGAGGAGGCCGCCACTCAGGAGGCCACCTCCGAGGAGGCCGTCGTCGCCGAGGAGTCCGCCACCGAGGAGGCGACCATCAAGTCCGCCGCCGCCGAGGTGTCCGGAGGCAGTCGCCGAGGAGGCGCCCGTCGCCGAGGAGGCCGTCGCCGAGGAGGCTGCCAAGGAGGTCGAGAAGCCGGCCAAGACCGTTTCCAACACGCCCGACCCAGCGGTGAGCGCGCCGCAGCATTCTCTCCTGGCACTCCTCGCTCTCCTACCGGTAATAATCTCCCTTCCCGTGTGCCCCTATCGCGCTTTGCAGGACACCACCTGCTACCCGGGCCTGCCCACGCCGGCGGAGGGGGGGAAGAGCGGGCCCGCGTCGGCCCGCAGCGGCTCCGGACCGGGCTACGTGGACGGCGTCGAGGCCGAAGTCCGCCGGCTGGGCGAGAGCGTCGTCTACCAGGCTACGCCCACCGACGGCAAGAAGTCGCCGTCGCCGGGAGTCCCCACTTCCGGCGGCATTGCGCCCGTGGCGCCCAAGCCCCTTGGCGCGGTCGCGGGCGCGGGGCAGGCTGAGGCCGAAGCCGCCGAGGAGCGCAAGTACTGGCTTGGCATTAACAACAAGGCGAAGGCGGCGCTCGATCTCAGTGACGAGCGACGGAAGAAGTGGGAGGACTTGCAGTCGCGGCGCTCGGGGAAGTGCCGGCGCAAGGCAAGGCGCTGGCGCAAGCCGAAGACTGGCAAGCGCCGCGGCCGCGGCCGCGGCGGCCGCCGCCCGAACTGGCGCCGCGAGCCGCAGACCACGTCCGGCAAGGCGCCATCCGCCGCTGGCACGTGCGGCGCCGGCGCTGGCACATGCGGCGCCGTCGCTGGCACATGCGGCGCCGGCGGTCGCGCCGGCCTCAAGGCGGCGGCCAACTGCGTGCAGGGCGGCTACACGAAGGCCGAGGGCGCCTTCCGGTGGCTGCTCCTCGTCTGCATGCCCGCCTTCGGCCACTGCGCGCCCGCCGTGCCTAGCCCGACGGCGGTGGCCTCGGCCTTCTCGTCTGCCGTCGCCTCGGCGTCCTCTACCTTCTCATCCGGCGTCGCCTCGGCGGCGTCCTCGGCCTTCTCGCCCGCCGTCGCCTCCAAGGCGTCCTCGCTCGTGAGCTGCTCGCCGCTTCTCATGCCCGCCCTCGTGCTCATCCTCCTCGCCATCGCTTGCGTCGCCTCCTGGCCGACCGCGGCGAGCGGAAAGGGGGCTCGGCGCTGCGTGGCGTGGGCCGTCTGCCTCACCGCCGCCATCGCGTGCCTCCCCGGTGCAGCAGCGGCTCCCGTGGAATCCTCTGCGTCGAGCACCACTTTCTCGTGGTTCACGGAGGGTGGTGCGATACCTCTCTCTTTCCTCTTCGCCGTGAGCGTGTTTGCTGCCACGGCCGACTTCGTGCTCCGGCAGCTGCGCGGGCGGCGCAACAGCACGGCGGCCTTCTCTCCGCCCGTCTTCTCGCCGCCGCCATCGCCGCCAGAGTCCGCCGGCGGCCCGTCGGACGTGGTGAGGACCTCGTCGGCGGTGATGCGGGTCGTCGACAAGTTCAGCTCTCTCATGCGGCCGCCGCCCAGGAGGCCGCTTCTTCCGAGGCCGTCGACTGCGTACGTCAACTCGCGTCGTATCCGCAGCGGCCCAATCCTCTCGGCGGGGGGGTCGCCGCCCACTCACCCAGTCCCCGCCACTTCGCGCGACATGGTGGGAAGGTCGCTTGATGTTCGGCCACCGATGCACCGCTGCATCGTTTGGCTGCTCACGGCAGTGCTCACCTCGCGCGTGTTTCGGGTTGTGAGAGAGCAGATCTACGGCCGGAAGGTCCATCGGCTGAGACGTCATGTGGAGGTGGTCAACGGGCAGTCTGTCGTGCGCTACAAGAGGGAAAACAGCGTGAGGCGGGAGAGTGAGCTCCGCTCCTTCGCACTGATCCCGCTGACGATGACCGTCCTCTGGCTGGTCGCCACGATTTTCGATGCCTGGGCTACTCTGCCACCCAACATCTCTCGCACCGTGAGCGAGCCGCCAAACTCCACCGTCTTTGGCATTGCCGCAGGAGAGCGGCCGCCCTTCATCGGCTGTGAGTATTGCGAGCAGCAGTGCGCGCCTTGCGCCACGTGCTACGACGGATGGACTCACGTCTATGAGAACCGCTTCGACCGTTGCGCAGCGTCAGCCGGGCCATGCGGCTACCCCTTTGGCGCGCTGCGCCACTGCTCTGTTCAGTGTGCGCCCTTCTTTGCGCTTGGCCGGCAGGGGCTGCACTGCATCGAGAGGTCGGACGACTTTTCGGCGTTCGCCCTCGTTGCTCATCCAGACAGCACCGGCAGCGGACGAGAATTTTGCGAGTACCGCGACCCTTCGTTGCCCATCGTCCGCGGCGTCGACCCATGGGGTACACAGCGCGGCCGCGTGCCGCCGAGCCTTTACCTTCCCAACGGCTATACCGCAGGTCTCACGGGATGTGGATGTGGAGTGCGAGGGTGTCCCCCCTTGCCCCTGTGCCGAGACCTTCCCCTCTTCCCCCCTTTCGCTAGGTCAGGGTCGGCGCTGGCCGCTCGTCGTGTTCCTCAACGGGCGCGGGACGTGTGGGAATCTCGCGCTTTGGAACTTCCAGCTCCACGGGCTGCGCCACTGGTATGGCTTCCTCCTCCTCATGCCCGACAGCGTCAGGCACGCCAAAGGGCGATTCTGGTGCACGCCTGTTGACATGCTCCACGCGCCCGACGCGTGCGGTGGCAGTGACGACGACGCATACATCTGGTCGCTGGTTGAGGAGGTACGGAGCGATTACGAGATCAGCGACGTGATCATCATGGGCTGGAGCAACGGCGCGGGCTTAGCCACGACGATGGCATGCAATCACGCCTCCGACTTGCTCGGCGCCATTGTCGTTGCGGGCGGCGACGCGCACACCTACGCCATCCCGGACCACCCGTCGTACTCGCGCGGTTGCCAGCCGGATGGCCCCGTGCACATGCTATACCTTCACGACCCCAACGACTTGATCGTCCACTACAGCAACGCCGTCGCCAACGTCGAACATGCGGCCAATGCCAGCGGCTGCGACACCTCCGTCTGCCCCGCGCCGCAGCGCCGACTCGACCTTGTGCGGCACTTGGAGGGCGTTCAGAGGGTCGGCGGCGACATTCTGAACCTTGGTCCCCGTCCGAGGATGGAGACGACCCTCTTTGCGTACCGCCACTGCCTGCCGGGAGGCTCCGCCGAGATGATGGTGTTAATGGGGTACGGGTCCGCGACGAGCTGGTGCGGCAGCGGCTCGTCGCATCGCCCCCAGCTCCCTTCCTCACCCGCCACCACCTGGGCACAGGTACCTGTCGGGGCAAACCAGCCATGGGACGATCTTGTCCTTCTCCTTGCCCGCAGTTGGCCACATCCTCGGCTTTGGTCAGCCAAATGATCAGGGAGTGCATTTCGCGTTCACAAAGCGTGCACTCGACTGGATGTGGGCCAAGGGCGGCTACCATCCGTCCGCTGCCCGTGAAGGCCGCCATCTCACCATGTTTGCTGCCCGCAGCCTTGACCACGCCGGCAACTTGCGCTGCTCGATCTACACCGACTATCACGACGCCAACAAGAACTTCATTTGTGTCCTGATCGCTGTGCCCTTGTGTGGGCTCGCCGCCGTGATCTCCCTTTGCTTCATTCAGGTGAAGTTTGTGGCCTTAGCGCGCTCGCGCTCCCCCCTACTCTCTCCTTCCGCGAGCAGAGATCCCGTCAAGCACCGCCCCCCCCCCCCCCCCCCCCCCACCACCACCCACCACCACCCTTCCCTCCACAGACGCACCGAGTGAAGCAGCTCCGCGTGCAGCGGGATGCCCGCAAGGTGCAGGGGATGCGCGACCTGCGGAAAGCGGCGAAAGCAGGCGGCTTAATGCGGGCAGGAGCTGTGATTGCTCCGGCCCCTCGCAGCATTACGTTCCACGACGTGGCGCCAAGCGCCGCACAAGCCGAGGAGATGGAGGCTGCGGAAGTCGGCACGCCACCCATAGATGCAGACAGGCAGAGACAGCGACGTGAATCATTTACAACATCCCAGCTTCCCCCTTTCCCTATTCCAGGCACGGCGCTAGAGATCGCCGGCGTGTGCCGTGCGTCGGTGCGCGAATCGCTGAGCCTCTTTGAGAGCTACTTTGGGCACACTGACTTCGGCAGGTTCCTTCTTCGCGCGAACCCCAGCCTTGGGGTGGTCGAGGTGGTCGAGCCTGCTGCGCATAGAAGCTTCTTTGCATTGTTACAGCGGTGGACGTCCACACCAGAAGAGGCAGCGGTCACTCGGCTCCAAGCTTCGTGGCGGGCCCTAAAGGCGAGGCGCCAAGTGAAACGTTGGCCCGCTGAACGAGCCGACGCGTCGTGATGACAGCTCGGTGGGGGCCTTGTCGCCGGTCGAAGTGTGCAGGCAGAGCACAGACAGGTAGCTCCAGCAGCTGTCGTTTTCCTGTTGGGCTCGTGTAGGATGCGTGTGTTGCTGTTGGCAGAACGGGCTGGGAACCTGGGTGTTGTCAAGTTGTGTTGTCACTGTGAGCGAGACATAAATACTGATAATAGCATCCAGGGAGGGAATATGCAGATAGTGCTGCAGAACATAAGGTAAGGTAAGGTAAGTTAAACTTCTCCACACACACGAGGTGGTGGGGCAAGGGGGGCGACCCTCGCGTCTCCACGTCACTCTAGGGCACTCTACGGCTTTCGGCTTTACCTCGAACCTAGACGACAGGAGCCCCACGGCATTAAAATTGCAAGGCCCATTGCGCGTGGGTGAGCGGTGTGTGTGTGTGTGTGTGTGTGTGTGTGTGTGTGTGTGTGTGTGTGTGTGTGTGTGTGTGTGTGTGTGTGTGTGTGTGTGTGTGTGTGTGTGGTAGGTAGGTAAATTTCTCCACACACACAAAGTGGTGGGGCAAGGGGGGGCGACCCTCGCATCTCCACACCCAGACACGGGCAGGAGCCCCGCGGCATTCAAAGTGCAAGCACTGGCCCGGTGCACGTGGGTGAGCAGCCTGCCCCTCCCTCCCGACAAACCAACTCCCGCACACACACAATCGCACTCTGGCCTCGCAAAGTCAGTTGTCGGAGGAGGTGAGAGTCGAGCTGTCTCGGCCTCTGCGAGTGGAGTCGGGACACACGGGCGAGCCGAGGACGATAGAGAGACCGCGGGGGCGGGCGCGATTCCTCGACCGAAGAGAGCTGGCCCCGCCTCCCGGGGAGGTGCGGCGTGGCGATCCAATGCCGCCGCCCTCGACCGGGGAAACCCCGGCCGGGCCGTCGACACTCTCGGAGCCGGTGGAGCCGGGAGAGGCTGGCGAAGACGAGGGGCGGCAGCGGAGAAAGCGACACCAACAACGAGGGAAACGACCACAGCGGCCGTCGTATGACGCTCGGCAAGCGAGCAAGAGAGCGAATCGGGGAGAACCGGAGCCCCGGGAGGTCGGAAGGTGGAGCTCCGAGACCGGGGACTAAGCGAGTGTCCGTGTTCGGGCGTGGTGTACAGTGTAATGTCGAATAGCTCCGAGTAGAGGGGGCGTCCTGCAGTTAAGGGGAAACCCGGTACGCGGGTCCAACCCTCGGAGAACCGTGTTTACTTTACGGCCCTTTCCCTCGCTGCGGCTAGTGCCATTTCACTGTGGCACGGCTCGCGTTACAAAACCTTGATTTGACCATTTGCGCACAAAGGTACATGTCGGTGCCTTCCAGAGGCAGCTGCGACCCCGCCGAGTAGACGGTAACACACAGCAGGTGGCGCGGTGTGTTACCGTTCACTCAGCGGGGTCGTAGCTGCCTCTGCGCGTCCTGGGGATGTACCTTTGTCGCGCGCCAGAGACGACTCGACGCCGCTGAGATCGGAGATCAAGCTCTGACAGGTCGCACGTCGCTCCTTTGACGCCGACGTGACTCCCCCGTGCAGATCACATCAGGACACGGTCTCGACACGCTCGGTACGACGCCTGCGACCCGTCTTGGGTCAGGTGGCACGACGCTCATCGCGCCTACCAGCGCTGCCGTGCAGGCTGCCACGACGAGGTCGAGCACGCTTCTATACGCTCGCCCAGCCTTCCTTTCCATCCCATTAGGTAGCCTGGGAACGGTGGCGGTCAGAGGCAAAGCCTGCGAGGGGTGGTGGAACCACATGTCACGGCTACTGCCGGCTCGACCCCACGATAGCCTCCGGAGGCTGACTTTGCGGCACCATCATCGGACGATGTCGACGAGTTGGGTCGCTCTCGCGGTAGCCAGATGACCTCCCATACTAGTATCATCGGCCATGGCCGCAGGAAGCGCGGGGGAGGGCGCTGGGAGCAACACAGAGCTCCGTTGGACGCGTTTTCAAGATTAGCGTGTCAGAGTGAAATGGCACTAGCCAATAAGTGTTAAGTCGCTTTTTGGCAAGTTTTGGGAATACGGTGTGCAATACAAAGGCTAGTTCCATTTCACAGCCTTGTTATTGAGAAGAAAATACGTCCTATGGCGCTGTGCGCTGGTCTGTGAGAGGTTGAGAGGTGCGTTCACTGTGGCACAGCCCGCGTTACACAATCTTGATTTTGGTCATTGCGCCATTTGGTACCTCTCGGTGCCTTCCAGAGGCAGCTGCGACCCCGCCAAGTGGACGTCGGCATCAAACAGGCGACGCGCAGCTTGTCCGTCCACTCTCTCCGGTCGCAGCTGCCTCTGCGCGTCATGGAGATGTACCAAATTGTCGCCGCCGGAGACGACTCGACGCCGCTGAGACTGGAGATCAAGCTCTGACAAGTCGCACGTCGCTCCTTTGACGCCGACGTGGCTCACCCGTGCAGAGCGCATCAGGACACGGTCTCGACGCGCTCGGTACGACGCCTGCGACCCGTCTCGGGTCAGGTGGCACGACGCTCACTCATCGCGCCTGCCAGCGCTGCCGTGCAGGTTGCCACACGACGAGGTCGAGCACGCTTCTATACGCTCGCCCAGCCTTCCTTTCCATCCCATTAGGCAGCCTGGGAACGGTGGCGGTCAGAGGCAAAGCCTGCGAGGGGCGGTGGAACCACATGTCACGGCCACCGCCGGCTCGACGCCACGATAGCCTCCGGAGGCTGACTTTGAGGCACAATCATCGGACGATGTCGACGAGTTGGGTCGCTATCGCGGTAGCCAGATAAACTCTCATACTAGCATCATCGGCCATGGCCGCAGGGAGCGCGGGGGAGGGCGCTGGGAGCAACACGGAGCTCCTTTGGACGTTTTCTTTGGACGTTTTCAAGATTAGCGTGTCAGAGTGAATTGGAACTAGCCAAACGATGAGCGACGTGCTGCGGCATTGTACAGCGCCATCTAGTCACGCTTCTCAAAGCTGCTATTCGCTGAGAGACATCCACGCACATGCGCTCCCGCTCTCGCTCCCCTCCTCTTGGGTCGGACGTCGGCGGGGCAGGCCTCGCACGGGCGCGGCGCGAAAAACGCGCGAGCAGTCGCCAGACCGCGGCGCGGGCCGTAACGAGGACGCCAAGGAGTGAGTTTTTGTCGGTGGGCTCGCCAGCTCGACCACCTCCGAGGACGTCAAGAAGTGAGTTTCCCACGACTAGCACGCAGAGACCAACCGACACCACCAACGCCAACGCCGCCGCCACCACCACTACCACCACCCCAGGGCCTTTGCCAAGTGCGGCAGAGTCACCGACTGCTACCTACCGACCGACCGCGAGACGGGCGATGCGCGCGGCTTCGCCTTTGTCACCTTTGAAGTCATGAGCGAGGCAGAGGAGGCGATCGCGAAGATGGACGGCGCCGAGCTTGACGGGCGGATGCTCAAGGCGGTGCAAGCGCCAGATCGCACACGTCACATCGCGGACAGGTCAACAAGCCACAAACGCGCAAAGAAGAAGGCGGCGGCGGCGGCGGCGGCGGCGGTGGGGGGGGACACCGCGGAGGGGGAGGATACCACGGTGGCGGCGGCGGCGGATACCGCCCCCGCGGCGGCGGCAGCTCGAACTCAACTGCTGCATCACGCCAGGCGGCCATCCAGTACGACCGCCTCACAGGTGAGAAGATCGTGCAGACGTCGTCCCGCCGCTAGGTTTGGTAGGACCCCGGGCGGCAAGGCGGAGCTACGTCAGTACATAGGGTGGCGCAAATAGCGACCATCCACGGTGGAACTGGCAGCACTCTCGAGAAATTTCCGACACGCGACTGTGAGCTAACTCTGCTCACACCCTCGCAGCGCCTGAGTGCTGAGAGCACCCAGTACACGTCTACTTACGAGCAGACATGATAGCCAAAGCATCCCTCGGGCTGTTGTTTCGTCCTCGCGAGAGACACAAAATATTTAATATCAATATACAACGAGCTCAATCGATGTTTTTATGCTGTGGCCTGTGGGCGTGTCCGTGGCCCTTGTCATTAATTATAAGGGCTCCAGGCCCCAAATCGCAAAGGCAAACATGATGTGTGAGTGTTAGAGCTGTTAATTATATGTCAACGGCCTTGTACGGCTTTACCCTGCAATATGTGGTTTGTGGAGTTTTGCGGGGAGTGCGGTGCGCTGAGCCCTTGTCTCACAGCCTGACAGCAAACCCCGGACAGCGCTTGACAGTGCCCGACAGCCTGACAGCGCTGACAGCACTTTCTCTGACAATCTGACAGCATGTATCTGACAGCCTGACAGCAGAACCTGACAGGCGAGGCGACCCGTCGCTGTCAGGCCCTAACGTGACAGCCTGACAGCTGCCTGACAGCCCGACAGCACACAGTGGCCTGACAGCAGCGCTGACAGCCCGACAGCAGCACAGACCGTACACAGACCCCGTAGAGCCTCTTTCTTGTGCCCCATGAGGGTATAACAAAATTACATGCAAAGACATGCACATGCACATGCACATGTGCATGCACATGTGCACATGTGCATGTGAGTGTGGTCCATGCAGTCATGGGATGGTCATGGGTCTCTCTCTCAACCCTCCCGCCCCACCTCTGCGGACCTCTCTCTAGCACCGGCGGCTGTGCTACTACAAATGAAGCTACCAGCTAGCCTTCTGGGGCCCTTCAGTCATATGCCTACGGCGTCTGGGTGGGGGTGGCCACCGCCGTCTGTGCCGCCGCCGCCGCCTGCGCCTGCGCCGCCATCTGCGCTCCCCAGGCGGCCGCCGCCGCCGGCGTGATCACGCCGTGTAGGAGGAGAGACTGAGAGTATGTGTAGTAGAGTCCTGCTGGTCTCCTCTTGATAGTGTCATAAGTGTGGCTGGTGTGTGTCAGAGCCTGACAGCACCCCGACAGCACCACCTGACAGCACCTGACAGCAACAGCCCAACGTCTGACAGCAGCAGCAGCCTGACAGCTCTGACAGCTCCGACAGCGTCTGACAGCAACACCCGACAGCTCCGACAGCACCCGACAGCTACAGATCACCTCGCCTGTCAGACACGCACCCGACAGCACCTGACAGCACTGACAGCACCTGACAGCTGGTCTGACAGAGGCACCTGACAGTGCCTGACAGCTGCCCGACAGACCGACAGATCATCTGACAGCACCTGACAGCCTGACAGCCAGGGCTCAGGCGGTGCGCTTCGGCGCCACCTCTAGCTCTACCGTCGACTCCTGGCGCCTCTCGGTCGGCCACTTGTTGACTGCCAATTGCCAAAATGTCAGGTCACAGGTGCTGTCCGCAGAGCGCAGTCCGGGCGGTGTGTTTACCCAGCACTCTTTACTCGGATACTGTCGTCCCCACACGCCCCAGGCTGTCAACGTGTCACAGGCCAGGGCTCGGATGACTGCAATGTGCATAAAACCTTACACTCTCGTCGGATAAAATCGTGAGTGAGCTGCTGCTCCCGGGCGCGCGTCCGGCCAGGTGTCGGCGCTGCCTGTCCGCCGGATCCTGCTCACAGGAAATGTGCCTCGTCAGAGTAGCACGCGGTTCCAAAGTGGTGCAAGGCGTCGTCGAAGTAGGCGAGCTGCGGTGCCTCGTCCCCCGGGAGGGCCAGGAGGCAAGCGTGGAAACGGCCCGTGTCGAGGTGGCGGTGGGGTCCAACTTGTGCCTGCAGCGAGCGAGGCGAGGCAAGAAGGGCTGTTGTGGGGGGGCGCCCGACAGGACCTGCACCAGACACGACCACGTCGCACTCCGTCCCCCTTGCTGCATGGCATGGCATGCAGCGGCGAGAGATGTGGCCCCCCGGGTGTATCGTCTCACCATGCGATCGACGAGCTGCAGCAGGACGGAGGCCTTGGCCGGGGACAAGAAGCTGGCGACGGCGAGGAGGAGATCCACGAGCGAGAACTCCCCCTGGCGCGCGAGCGCCTAGAGGCCAGGCGCAGGGAGGGCGGTGCGGCGGTGCGGCGCCGGCGGGGGCAAGCCTCTGCGAACGTTGCAGAACCTCGGCGGCATCGCGGCAGGTTGAGCGCTTGGCTCCAACGGCCGCCTGGGCGTGCGCCGCCTCCGCGTAGCGTTGCGCCTGCAGGAGACATCTCTGGAGTGGTGGCCGGCGGCGGGAAGGAGGGAGGGCTGGGGTTGGCGTTGGCTCCTCCTCTTTGTTCTCGCACAGGGTCGCCATGTAGTGTGTGACGCTCCGCCCGTTGCGAGGGGTTCGAGCATGAGGTGGTTCATGAAGCACGCGCCATTCCGCTTGTAGTTGACGACCTCAATGCTGAGCCGCTGAGAGGTTGCGACGGCCGATGCGATGGCCTATGCGACACGGCGGGGACTCGGAGTGAAGGCAGTTGGCAGGCGGTGGGAGTGCGGATCATTGAGGTCGCTTGTAATCCGCTTTTCGCTCTCTACACACACAACACACAAGCACCGCCACTTCGTGGTCAGCCGTCTCAGTCAGCCGTCTCAGCTGTCTCTCCGTTTCTAGAGTGGGAGTGTCGTGCAGGTGTCGTGCGAGGGAGTGTTGTTGTAAAATTCTAGAGTGGGGCCGGCACTCTGTTGAGCACTTGTGAGCACAGGAATAGGGTCCACAACTCCTGACCCGCCGCGCGCCGGCCGCCGTGCCAACTTTGACGTTATTAACCAAAATCGGCGCCGCCCGCGCGCTTCTTTATGGGGGGCCGTACCATCTGAAATGCACCACATCGAGCACTTTGGATTTCGCTATTCTCCACCTTCTACTCAGGGTCGATTCCACATGGTACGGGGCCCTCGATCGTCTGGGGGGGGGGGGGGGGTCATATCTCATAACAAACACGGTGCAGGAATATCGAGGTGCACGCCGACGAAGTAGTGTCGCCCCCCCCTCCTCCCTCCATCATCTCACTGGGTCTGGGAGACGTCGCTCGTCGGCGGTGGTGGCGGTGGGGACCGATCGAGCCAGCACGAGAGGAGCTTATTCAGCACGAACCACGCAAACGCAGCTCGCAGGAGACCGAAAATGCTATGCGGCGACGTTCCGTGGGTATTCGCGTTATTCCTTTATTCGACACACGCCCAAAAAAGAAAAAGCCGCAACCCGCGCGCGCAAGCGCCAGCCGTGCTGTCCGTGCCCCACCACCTCGTCTCCTCGTGTGTGTGGAGAAGTATACTTTACCTTACCTTACCTGCTGTCCGTGAGCCGTCTCAACTTCAGCTGTGCGCCTCCCTCGAGAACGCGGTCTCGCGGAATAATTAAGTGTCTCACGTGCGCTGCTGACTCACAACCTCGAAGAAGTCCGATGGGCCCTTGAGCTCGGTGAGCCACTCCCTCTCGATCTTGGTGGCGGAGAGCACGTACTCCTTCTCCGCCGTGAAGGCCGTCTCGTGGAAGACGATCCACTCGGGCGGCGCCCGCCAGAGGGCCGAGTTGGGGTTGAGGGAGAGGGCGGCGCCGGTGTGGGTCGCCGCGTACTCGCCCCCCGTGACGACCTGCGCGGCCGACACGAAGTAGCCGCGCACGATCGCGCGCCGCACGCCGTCGGTGCCGGTCCTACAATGACAAGACACCAGCCTCGGGGCGGGGAGGCGGTGTTGTGCAGAGTCTTCAGAGCGATGAGTGACTCCGAGGGGCACGAGTACAGTGAATGCGGCTGAATGCCGTCGAATAGCGCGGAATCTGTGTCCTCTCGAGCGCTGGCTGGAAGACAAGAGTACGGATTCCGCTTCTAGGCCGCCGCTCGTCCCACCGAGGTCTGGCCGCTCCGCCGCGCTGCAAGATGCGACTCCCAGCCTCGCGAGCTGGCGCAGCAGCTGCGCCTAATTAAGAACGAATGAACTATTAGTTAGCCTCGCGAGCTGGCGCAGCAGCTGCGACTAATCTCGGGCGAGCTCGGGGCGATGTCCGGGTGCTCTCCCCAAGCAAGGCGGGCTCTCGAGCGGCGGGGCGGCGCCTTGACATGCGAGCACCGTTCGAGCACCCGCTCGTTGAGCCGGTGCCTGCGGCACCAGCTGCCCGCCCGCGCCGACCCGTGCCGCTTGAGCTGCCGCAGAAACCGGCGGTGCACGTTGAGGAGCGTCACCGAGTCGCCCTCGTACACGGCAAAGGGCGCGCGCGCGGCCTCGAGCTCCTTGGCGCGCGAGACAGTGAAGACGGACTGGACCGAGAGGAGGGCGGCGACGGCTGCAGCCTCCTCCACGCACGCCTCCTCCTCTGCAGCGAGGAGCATCGCCGCCAGCTGGGGCTCGAGAGGTAGCCGCGCCATGCGGTCGCCGATGGGCTGGGTCAGCTCCCCGGCCTCGGTGAGGGCGCCGAGGGCGAACAGGAGCTCGAGGGCGCGCGAGAGCGACTCTGGCGGCGGCGGCGAGAGGAAGTCGAACCGGAGCACGTTTTGGATGCCAAGCGCCTTGAGCTGCAGCGTGACCGCCGCCAGCGAGCATCGCTGCATCTCTGGCGGGTTGTGGGCGGGCAAGCCGTGGTAGGACGCCTCCGTCATCAGCACGTAGCACGCGCCGGGCCGGACCCGTCCTAAGGTAAGGTAAGGTAAGGTAAGGTAAGGTAAGGTAAGGTAAGGTAAGGTAAGGTAAGGTCAGGTCAGGTCAGGTCAGGTCAGGTCAGGTCAGGTCAGGTCAGGTCAGGTCTCAGGTCAGCCTCACCACACACACGAGGTGGTGGTGGGAAAAGGGCCCGGCTAGACCCTCGCGACTCCACGTCTAGACGACAGGAGCCCCACGGCATTGAAAGTGCAAGGCCCGGTGCGCGTGGGTGAGCGGTGTGTGTGTGTGTGCCCCGGCCTGCCCGCCCCGCCCGCTGGCGCGCGTTGGCGCGCGACTCGGGCACGACGACGAGGGCCTCGTGCAGAGTGCTCGGGTTCTGCTGCCGCTGCTTTGTCCAGCCGCAGTCCACGACAAAGACCACGCCGTCGATGGTGACGGAAGTCTCGGCGATGGAGGTCGCGACGATCACCTTGCGCGCCCCCGGCGGCGGCGGCGCGAAGGCGCGCATCTGCGCGGCGTGGCTGAGGGAGCCGTAGAGCGGTAGGGCGAGGAGCCGCCTGCGAGGCCGTTCCGCGAGCGCGCGGTCGGTGAGGAGCGAGACGGCGGTGTCGACCTCCTGCTGCCCCGTGAGGAAGAGGAGGACGTCGCCCTCTTCGGGAGAGACATGCAGCCGCCACGCACACTCGACGGCATGCGAGAGGTAGTCGCTGACCGGAGCCTCGGCAAAGTGCATCGCAACCTCGTGCACGCCCGAGCCGCGCAGCGAGACGATGCCGGCGGTACCGCCGCCGCCGCCGCCGCCGCCGCCGCCGCCGCCGCCGCCGCCGCCGCCGCCGCTACTGCGGAGCTCGAAGAACTCTTTGAAGCGGAGAGCGTCGACGGTGGCGGACGCGACGATGAGGCGGAGGTCGTCTCGCGCGTGGAGAAGCTTCTTGAGCAGCCCGAGCAGCACGTCCGTGGTCAGCGAGCGCTCGTGCGCCTCGTCCACCATCAAGACGGAGTAGCGAGAGAGCAGCGGGTCGCTCATGAACTCGGTCAGCAGCAGCCCGTCCGTCATGAACTTGAGCCGCGTGGCCTCGCGCGAGCAGCAGTCGTCGAAGCGGACCGCATACCCGACCGTGCCTCCGAGCGCCTCCCCCATCTCCTCGGCGACGCGCTGTGCGACCGAGACCGCCGCGACGCGACGGGGCTGAGTGCAGCCGACGACGCGCCCACCGGCCGTCCAACCCGCCTCGTGCAGGTACTGCGGGATCTGCGTCGTCTTGCCGCACCCGGTGTGGCCGACGACGACGGTCGTCCGGTACCGCTCCACCATGTACAGCAGCTCGCGCCGGTTGGCAAAGATGGGCAGCCGCAGCCGCTGCTGCGCGAGGCTGAGCCGCTCATTCGGATTCCACGAGCCGACGGCGGTGGCCTCCTCGTCGCCGGCGCGGTCGCGGTCCACAAAGCTCGATGCCGCAGCCGCGGGCCGCGCGGCGTTTGGTCTCCAGAAGAGGTGGGCGTTGCTCATGCCCCCGGGCCCCGAAACCTCGAGACCGCGCACCGCGTGGTGTATTTCACACCTCTCGTTTCCTCTCTTTCCATGAGAAATCTCACAATTTTTGAGAATCGCCTCACATATATATTTTCAATGCAGTATGTGGCTCTTACGTACATTCCCTAAGGAGGACTCTGCTGACAGGGTTTGCGATGAGGAGCGACCCGATTTTCCTGCTTAGCGCAACAAATCCCTCACATTTCTCATGTCAGATTACCTGGTCGACCAAATTTCTCGTCCAGATCACCCGCCACCCGGCCAAACGGGGTCGCAGCTGCCTCTGGAAGGCACCGAGAGGTACCAAATGGCGCAAATGGTCAAATCAAGGTTTTGTAACGCGATCTGTGCCACAGTGAAATGGCACTAGCCACTAGCCAGAGCTGCACACCACGGGGATCACCGGTGTCCGGTGTGCCAATTCAAGAAATCGCGCAGGCGCCACCCCCATTAATTTTTGGGGCTCTGAGCCGACAAAAACAAAACTACCGCTCGCTGCTCGCATGCTGCGACCGAGCGCGGCCGCGGGGCGTGCTGCTCTGGGGATTTGAGGCGCTCAGCCGAGGCGAGCCTGATTTTCGCAGCGTTCGGCTGTGGGGGGACTGAGCCTATTGTCCGCTGTTGGCTGAGGTGGTACCCTCGAGCCTCCTAGCATCGGCTGCCGGCTCCTCCGGCTCCACCTCTGCCGCCTGCGCGCTCACCGCGTCCCAATACGCCGCACCATAATCGAACGTCAGCTCCTCGCCCGGCTCGATGGGCCGCGCCGCGTAGAAGAACATGCGCCCACGCTGCCCGCCAAAGCGCTGCTTGCGCTTGCGCACGTTGCACTCGCCCTCGGGGAGGCTGTTCATCCACCGCGCGATGCCGGATCGAGCCGGGTCCGCCGCGTCAGTGTAGATTGGCTCGCCGAGCAGCGCTAGCGTGTCCACCACGGCGACGTACCTGAGCAGGGGAGCGCAGCTGCGTTTGGTGCGCGCGCTTGTGGCGTGCTTTCGATGTGTCGATCCGCACCTTCCCTCGCCCGAGCGGTAACGCTCAAAGTATTCCTCCTCGGAGAGCCGCTCACCGGCGTACTCGAAGAGGTACTCGCCTTCGCGGACGGGCGACGCTGCAAAGAGGCCCTTCCCGGCGAAAGGAATGAGCGAGTCCTGCACCACGAACCGCGAGTCCGAGAGGGGCGGCCGCGCCTCGTTGTGGGACCACGTCACCGCGGCGGCGGCGGTCAGGCCCACGCCGGCGGCGGCGGCGGCGGCAACGGGGCTGATCGCGCCGTCGGCAATCCCCAGTGCGAATGATGTGGTGACGAGGCCAGCGCCGAGGCCTACGCCGGTGGTGCGCACCCGGCGGTAGCGGAGCAGCTCCTCCCTGATCTGGTTGGGAGGGGAGGCACAGGCCAGAGAGGCCGCCGCGGTGAGGACATTCATGCAACAAGGCCCGACAGTAAGTAACAAATATACAGTGTCGAGCTTCACAGATTCTGGCCTGTGTCTGAGAGCTGGTCTCGGGCAAAATCTGAGGCAGAATCGAGGAAACCGGCCAAATACCGGGTATTTTCCAGGTATACCCGGGGTTTTCAGCACCGACCACCCCCCCCCCCCCCTCCCCCCCCCGCACAAGCACAGCCAGTCGAAGAACATCGCACAATAGGTTTTCTTTCTTTTTTTGTGCCAACAATCAATCGATCAAACAATCCCTTGAAGCAAAGGTAGGGTGCCCACAGGGCCCAAAAAAAGAAAGAAAAAATAAATGGCCGAACCTCGCTCGCAGCACTTCGTGTTGGAGAGTCGAGAAATTGAGAGTGTGACTAGGAGGGTTGGCCTTTATACATTATTCTTCCGATTCTATATTCTTTTTTCGAAGCGATTTTCAGCGATTTTCCAGCGGGAATATAAAGAATATTTGAGAATATAGGCCCGATTTGGAGCTGTATTCTTGGCATATTCGAGAATATAGACCCTGTTTGGGACAAACAAGAATACGGAAAGAATACGGAAAAAGAATATAGATAGTACTGGGCGAGAAAAACGTATAAAGGCCAATAAGGAGGGTGTGCGACGGTGTATCATTCACTTTATGCCACCGTTGCATATCCGGTCTCGAGTTCGAATCCCGCAGTTCGACTCGGCGCAAAAAACCCAGACGGGCGTTGTCACTGGTTCGAAACCCACCTTAGCGTTCACCTGCTATCCGCCGGTACCCAAACCGGATGCATCTCCGCACGACCCAGGAATGCAGTTTTGCGACGGTGTATCATTCACTTTATGCCACCGTTGCATATCCGGATATGCAAGCGGTGGCATAAAGTGAATGATAGACCGCCGCAAAACTGCATTCGCG